CACTGTCCCGGCTCTGCGCTCATTATCCCAGCAACCGGCCCTCACACAGCTGAGCCCATCGTCTTTTCCTCAGGACAGGGAGGGGGAGACTCCTGTAGGTGGACTCCTCCACTGCGACTTCGGTCCCAGATGTCGCAGATGGTGAGCACAGGTGCCAGGGTTATGTTTCACTCCTTGACCAGTGGTGCCAAGGGGTTTCTGGAAAACACACACCCCGCGGTCCAGTCACTAGAGTCCCTGCAGCAACGGGCGATGGATGAGTTCACCAAGGTGGCGTCCTTCTTCGGCGAAGACAGCAAGGCCACCACCACCGAGGCCTTCTTCGGCATCTTCGCCGAGTTCATCTCCAAGTTCGAGGTGAGCTGGTACACGCAGCAGCTCTGTGCAGAGAATCCCTGCATTGGCCGTTCTGTTTTTCTTTAAATTTCCACTTTCTTAAGCATGGAAACGGATCTAGCTATGAATGCACTTGGAATAAAGTACCTGAAAGAATTTAAACAAAAAAAAAAACAATATAGAGAAAGAAAGCACCTTGGTTATACTGTGGATAGTTGGAAAATGGCACCAATTCATCTGTTGCAGGATACAACCTAATCCCACTGCATGAGAGAAAAATATTTTTAAGAAAAACAGGGGCCTCCTGAGGGCTTCAACAAGTAAAGGCGTTTAAATGAGTTCAGGCTGAGCCCTATGATCACGGGTTCGAGTCTGGGTCTGGTCACTAGTGGGCAATGTCTGTGAGTCACCAAGCCTTGGTGCTCAGTTGTTTATGTTATTAGTCTGCCTGGGCTCCATAGTGACCTAGTTGCCTGAGCAACACAGTGACCCCTTTGGCCTCATTGGGCAGTTGCAGTCACGAGGAGCTGTCAGGGAGGGGGGGCATGCCTCTCCTCCAATCAGAGCCGACCCTTTCCCCGTGTGCGATCACAGGGTCCTTAGCTGCCAGCTGAGACGTGAAAAGCACACGACTAGCTTTCCCACGTCGTCGGGCACAACGGAAACAATTGGTGATTCTAATACTTTTTTAAAAAAAGATAGAGTAGAGGAAATCTTTTAAAGACTGTTTAATCATTAGTCAGTGAATCACAGAAGTGACAGGATAATGGCCATAAAATCACGTCAATGGCTCCTCAATGGAGTGGAACTTTAAAGAGTAACTCTGTTGTTCAAGTTAGCAAGCCAGTGGGGAGAGGAGTCTGTTAACGAGTCACGGAGAGGGCAGCGGGGTGTAACAGGATGCGCACGCGTGTCGTTCTTGATTTCAGAGAGCTTTCAGCGAGACGCAGGCGACCGAGAACCCAAGAAGTCCGCGTGTGGCTTCCCCGTTGGCCTGGTGAGAGGGAGGGGGCACCTCTGCCACTCATCCACACATGGTGCCAAAAGGAGTGCAGGCTGTTCAGAGAAAGCCACAAAGGAACTGTTTTTTTTGCCCTGAAGCAAAAACAAAAAAAAGACTGCAGAAATGCGAAAAAATGGAAATCTCGGAACCAGCTTGCCAATTTCCAACAAAAAAAGGATATTTACAAGATACAGTATACATGTTTTATATTTAATTCTGTGCTGGCAAGTAGGTTACTTAGCAGGAAGTGTACATAAGCTGTCATTGCTACTGCAGAAGTGTTTATACAGCGCGTTGGGCAACATTCACCCTCCTGGGACGAATCTTAAAGGTAATGCTTTGCTTTTGAGCTGTAGAATTGAACACCCTAACAATAACCACAGACCACTTCATGTGTACCGAGCCATTCCTGTCTTACATCCGACTCCCACATTTTTCAGGTTGAACTGATTTGCATTTCTGACCAAACTTAAGTTTCGATTTACAGCATTTTCCCACGTAAATCTCCCATTCCTGCAGCGAGCTAGTCTTTTATTGTAAATACTGTGTATATACTCCTGTCACTGTATTTTTCAACTTGACTAAACTATAATATTTTGTGCATACAGGATTAATCCAAAGGCTAAAAACTATATCCACTAGCTGGTAGAATACTGTCAAGAAAATGTCACCAGAATCTCCTTTTCCAGTGAAAGTGAGCATTGTTTCGAAGCAAAGCAGATGAGCTCTACTATTTTTCTGTCTTTGAAATTATACAAGTGGGGCGCTTTGTACAAATCTGGGCTGAGAGCCTGTCAGTAGACTTCATTACTAATCTGACACTTTACAAACTGCACATACCGTCAGATTCCTGTAAATCATCGCAAAGGCGATGAAATCAAAATACCCATTCTCACTTTGTGAAAGGGCTGTTTTTTTGTGTGGGATTTGTGAGTGCTCACAGTTCCCACCCTTTCAGGCCAGTCTGCTGAAGGTAATGTGCAATTGATTTATTCAGAGATTTAACTAAGAATAAGGATCAAACTCCTTACCCGGTCCTGAACTACGTACAACCTTCCACTTGTATAGTTTAAATATTTTAAAATAATCCACTTACCTGTACAGTCCAAGGAAATCTTTAAGTCTCTCTTAGTCTATAATTTCTGTGAAAATAGCTAAAAGAAAATCTTGTCAACTGCTACACTGGTTGACAAATTTTATTAATGCTCTAACTTAGTAAATGTAAATCAGTAGAGGCACTTCTAATGATCTGAGTGAGGAAACCGACAGCAAGGCTATGGCACTGTATGTGATGTACTGTATATGATTTTGGGACTTGTTTCTTTGACTGGTTGAACCTGTCCTCGTTCACTTTGCCACGTGAATCATGAGGGTAACGTTCAGCTTTGCGGTGCTGTCTGATGTGCTGTGTCTTCCCCACTTCCTGTGGGGATACTTGGGTAAAACGAAATTGGTTGTCCATAGCCGAATGAGGAGACCACCTATCTTCAATGATGATGCACTGAGCTGGCTGACAGATAAGTATTTAACAGAAATGACCAACTTTTCCTCATGCTGTGTAGTTTTTAGCTCCTCAATTTGTGTAATGTCCCTTGCTTCCTAACATCAGGCATCTGTTTCTGTGCAATGAATTTTTTATTGATACGTTTGTATCTTTGGTTGCCAGTACATTTTCAGTCCTCTGTGCTTCCTCTTAAAGGCTAATTTTCACCAAATAGGAGACAGGGGGGCTGTCCCCCTGCCCCCCCCATCCCAGGTGGACTGGGGTCACAGCTTGTCTGGAGTGGTGGGAGGGGGTGTGGTGGCCGCCCGCTCACACTGCAGAGAGGAAACGAGACGCTCTGGTGTGCAAACCAGGCTGTGGTCATTTCTGAAACTGAGTGCAGATTCATCTGTCCACATACATTGTGCTTCAGGGGCAATCCTCAGTCCTGATGACCAACAGGATGATAAACAACTCACTCTTGTAACTGACATTTGTGATTCAGAAGGCGTACCTAACAAAATATGCCGTGTATTGTCCTGTATGTGTCAATGTTTATTCTCAAACATCTTTGGCAGTCTTACTCAGCTGTTGGTAATTAGAGGCATAAAGGGCATCAAAAGTATTCCATGAAGACAATACTGTTTGTTGTTTCTTTGGTTTTGAAAAGGTGTTCTTACAGATTTTTGTGTGTGGTTTACCTAGGACAAAAGTACTCTGAGAAAGACTTTGATATTCGAGGTCTATTATTATTATGATTTCTCTGGCCCTCTAGTGATTCTCTCAGTTCTCTGTTGGCCGTAGGACATAATGTCGTTTAATTAAGGATTACAAGTTCATTCTGATCAACAGAGTGTGCATAGCAGTCATTTCTGTTGAACGCATTTCTAAAAAGTTCGTTTGAATTACATTTTGTGTGATTGTTCAGCTTGTTGGCAGAATCTGACTGACAACAATGAAGTAAGCTTGAGGTATCATCACTCCTTCTTTAGACAGACTAACTTCTAAACTTCAGCTTGTTGAAATTGGTCTGGATATTCGTTATATATGTTCTGCCAGAGACATTGGTTTATAATGCTCTTCACAAAGAGACATTAAAACCACAGTATTCAGACTTGCATATGACAACTGATGTATTTGGCACCCTTCCTCGGTTTTGGGTGATTATAGAATCATATTGATAATATCCAGAAAATCCTAAATAAACCATTAGACAACCGCGGAACTGTTTTTCTGTGTTACAAAAACAGAACTAGGCTCTGATGGGAGATGACCTAGAATGTTCTAATCTAATACAATCTAATGTATTAGAATCCTAATACATTTCCACTCTGAATAGAATTATATTAGAGCGTTTGTACCACACTTCAGTATACTTGCAGTGCAGATCTGGCATCAAGCCTCAACAGACTGGCGGTTATGTTTCCAGAGCTGTTGTTTAGGGAACCTCAGTGACATGACCCATTCTCACCTAAATCCCAGTGTTGACAACATTATTAGTCGGAATTACTTCGGTTTTCCCGTGACATTTCCGTGCCAGGACCAAAATACAAGCCCATTTCATTTCGCTGTTCGAGAGCTTCGCCATTTTTTTGCTACTACTAATCGCTACTAATGCAGAAGCATTAGAGGGCAAGAGAACATCAGTTCACATTGCTGTTGCCACATACAGTACGCAGTATTAGAACTATAAAGTATTTATTAGCGACATAAAATGTGCTTGCATGTATAACACATTAGGCATGTAGAGTATTATTATTAATATTATTACAGCCAGTAATATAATTTCTTCCTTGAATTATGTTTAATTCTGCAATTATTTGTTTTTTTATTTATTTATTTTTGTCTTCCCTTCTTTTAGTTAAGCAGAATTCCTGTTTTTACTGTATAAAGCTCAGTATTGACTTGTGTGTTACAGTAGGTGTGGGTCTTGGTACGGCTTATGGCTACGCCGAAGAGTCGCAGTTTTGTATTGTGTACAGCGATGTCGACAGCAAACGCTGGCCAATAAAAACCTATATGACGCGTAAACGTTCTCCGGCGCCACTGTGTCGTTCTCATGCAGAGTGCACAACCCCACACACAATTTACACCAGCGCCTGACAAGTCGTCATCCTTGTTAGAGGAAACCACAAAAACCATGGTGCTGTCTGCTGCCCGTTTTCCGCGCAGGGGACTCAGGCCGGGTGACAAGCCCATCCTCCCAAACGGAAGAACTGGACGGCGGTGCTGGGTGATGTTCACTTCTGAAGAAAATGTCAACATTGAAACCAGCGCCAGCCTGCACGGCTAGTTTATAGTTGGGGGGGGCAGTTTATTTTAACCACCTTTATAAACCACACCGGGGATAACCAAAACAAGCTGGAGAACATTAGTGGAATGATAATTGTACTGAGGACGTCTCTTTATTAAATCGATAACCAGACAAAAAAGACACACAGTCCAGTATTGCGCTCAGCTTGGAAGAGCTCACCCAATTTGTGACCAAAGCGAGTTGTCAGTAAAAGATGTGTTTTTGAGAGTCCCACAGAAATTACTTTGATGGACGTGCAGTTCTCAGGTTTTTCACGGTATCTGAATATTGAAATAAGTTTAGAGGTTGATCAGTAAAAGGGTATGAGAAACAAAAATCTTTGCTAAATTTGTATCACGTACTGGTTTAGCCCATCCTGAAACCCATTTGAGTTGCTTGCTTCTGTGTGTAGCGAATAAACTTTTTTTTTTTTACTGTGTATAGACTGTCACCACATATCAAGGGCTACAGCGAGTAGAAATAGCTGCAGAATTATTGAAGCTTTTAGTATGAATGGCACCTGCAGCACACAAAAGATGCAGGAACTGTACAGAAAGAAAAGCTACCCTTCCCCGCTATCCTTGACACAGAGGCCAATCAAACAGAGGGAAGACCTCGCCGGGAAAATGAAATCGCATTACTACCACCCTCGTTTTTACCTAAAGGAAGCCAGTCGGAGCAACCTGCGTGTACAGTAAGAGCAATTAACCTCCCGGCCAGCTGACGGAAAGCCGGCCTGTATAGGATCGGCCTGGCTGATAGCGAGGAGCCGCGGAGACGCAGTCAAGTCCAGCCGGGCCGCGGAGGGAGAGAGGCGGGCCGGCCGTCGGTCCCTGTGCCGCAGACGCTCAGCCTCAGCTCAGTCAGATGGAGAAGGCAGGTAAACCGGTTGGAAACAGGTGGAAAATAATACAGCCTGAGTCGTAGCAGGGTTGCAACAGAGGCAAGGTTATAGTGGTATGGTATAACCTGAAACCCTTATAATTTACAACGGTGTATTAACTTGGGAGGTCTGGCAAACTCGGTTTACTGAATGGAATCAACAAAAATACGATAGAAACCTAACTAAAATAACGATAAACGCCGACGTTTCCACGTGGGAGCCATGTTGCGCATCCCCGATGAATATCTCGATTTCGACCCATAAATCGCTCATTCTCACCGAGAATTACTGCAGATCATAAACACACACACACACGCTTCAGTGCTAATGACTGCGCGTCTGGAGCTGAGGCTGACTTCTCATTACGAAAGAATGCTACACTTCAGCTGGGGTGTAAATCGATAACGGAGTGTCACCTGGTGGAGTTTGGACCAAACTCCTTAGAGGGCTAAAGTTCAGTCGCTGGCGGACTGGCAGGCGAGATGAACTAGGGATTTAAATGGGCGAGAAGGAAGGGGGGAACGCGAAAAAGACAGGGACGATATTACAACACACACACACAGGTTCAAAGCCTGCATGGGCTGTCAAACTCACACCATCCGCGAAGACCCTGACGCAGTCACACGCTAATGACACGGTAAGTCCCGAAACGCATTTGCTTTTGATTCCATTACAAGTACAGTTTTTACCTTTCCACTTCACAGTTTCTTGAGTCTTGTCCCCAGATCGCCGAAAAAAAGTTTATTAGTTATTCCAGTCCCCTCAGTGTGGGCCTCCTGACCAGCAGAACGCCAGACCATTGCGCTGACAGGTGATTTCTGCACTGGTCGGGAAGGGAGGTTTTGCATAACCTTACAGTCATACATAAAGGAACAGGGAGGCATTCGAAGAGCGTGAAAGTGCAAATCATTTTCACACAAAAAAACAAGTCTGTGTTAGGATTTTATTGAGATGCAGAGACTGCATAAATAATTGCCGGGTGAGGTCTACAAAGACTGTTCTAGAAAGAGGATGCACTGGGGAAATGAATTGGGTTAATACTGTACTTCTTGGTGTTGCCCTTTGCCTTTTCGCAAGGGAGGCAGTGAGCTTGCGTATTCTGAATATTACGTCGGTAATCGGACAGCCCACTTACAGCACAGTATCGCTCCTGGGAACCTTCCAGAGTCGAGCAAGTGGCTTCACTGGGATGCTTCTCCACAGTTTGGGCAGGATATAGCGACACTGCTAAGTGGGATTTGTGTGACAGGTGCACACCCACTGTGTAACAATGTGTTACTGTGTTACAAGCACTCTGGGAGACAGGACAGATCCATGAAATGCTGCTTCCTTTCCTTGACACGATGGGAGAGATGGGGGTCCCTGTACACCTTGCCCGTGGAGTGGAAAAGAAGTGGGGTGTATGTGTATTGGGTTACAGAGGGGTTCGTGAGGCTTATCCTGATGTGTTGTTCTATGTTGTGTTCCAGACCCAGGCTCCTTTAACCTTTGACCTTTGACAGCATGGACCCAACGCCGGTATCCCACGTATCCACGTCCGGATCTCCGGGCTCTTCCCGCCCAGAATCCCTGGCTATCGCTGACATCGTGGTGCTGGTCCTGTATTTCCTGTTTGTCTTGGCTGTGGGGCTCTGGGTAATACACAGTTGTCATTGCTTAATCGGAGGCTGCTCACTTCTAAGTATTTTGTTTGATCATTTTTAATCCATGATGTTCAATTGTAAACTCCTCATTTTTAATACATGAATTCCGTAAACTCTAAGGGGGCCAGAGGTCAGGGTTCTGGAAGGTTGCGGGTTCGAATCCCAGGTGAGACAGTGCTGTTGTACACGTGAGTGAGATACTGCACCTGAATGGCTCCAGTAAAATACATAGCTGTGTAAACAGGTACAAATTTAACTTCCTTTGGATAAAACCATCAGCCACATAAAATTTGTGGTAAGTACTGCATTGATGCCTGGGCTGCTCTAATGTAGATCACAGCTTTGTTTGTGTAAAGGGAAGGTAATTGTTTCAGTGGTGTCACTGTAATTAAGGCAAAGAGGTGATTGATTACCTATCCTTGACTGTTTCCTGCTGATTAGCCCGTCTTTATAAATAGATACAAATGGAAGTTGCTTTAGATAAAAGCATCACCCAAATATATAAGCAATGAGTGTGAGTTAAAGGTTATTGTTTAATTTAACTCAAACGATACTGATCACATCCTCGGTGTAGGTGTTTTTGAAGTCTTTGTTGATGGCCGATGTGCTAAATGATTTCCTCCTTCAATTCGATTGGCGCAGCCGTTTCTCTCCTCCTGATCTGCTGCCCAGTGGGGATGCTGGTGCAGAAAGGCCGCTGTTTGTCAGAGGAAGGCTGGACATGCTGGGTTTGTGCACCTGGGGGTGTGGATTTAGCGGACCTGACTCTGTCTCTCTCCCGTCTAGTCCATGTGGAAGACGAAGAGAAGCACAGTGGACGGGTACTTCCTAGCTGGGAAGAGCATGGTGTGGTGGCCGGTGAGTGTGAAGAAGACCAGGGAGAGTTATAGTAGGGATTGTTCAATTCAAGTTGAAGTATCGTACATATTATACTCTCTCCCTCTGTTGATGTTTAGGAGCAATTTGTAGTTCATTGTCGGTGAGTTGAGCACCGCATGTACAGGTATGAACTGCTATGTCCTCATGAGAAAGGTTGCACAGAAAAACAATACCCCAGACTTTCTTTTATTTAAACTGCACCTGGAATGGCTAGGAGATGTGGGGCCCATTTGCTTATGCAGTTTGGATAAAACACAGTTGAGGATATTCTGAGCATGCTGGCCGGCTCTCTTAATGAGTGGTGATGTCTTTGCGCTCTGCATGAACTGGTGTAACTGGGATCGGAGCACTGCCTCGCCTTCCCGCCTCCCGGGCTCCGGGGGCAGATCTCTTGTCAGCTTTTCCGCCTCTTTTCCCCGGCAGGTGGGAGCGTCTCTCTTTGCCAGTAACGTGGGGAGTGGGCATTTCATAGGACTGGCGGGATCGGGGGCCGCGTCTGGCATCGCCGTCACCGCGTACGAATGGAATGTAAGATATCCGTTCTTTTTTTCGCTTGGAAAAAAAAAAACCCCTTCATTCTTGTGTTTCTGTTTTTGGCCCACTGCTCGGGTGGGACTTTTTAGTCTCTCTAAGATGGGGAAGGGCACAGGAACCATGTGTATTTGTGCTTTTCAGATCTTAGGGCTTGGAGGAGTCCTGTGTCAGGTGTGCCCTGCACTGTCTAACCTCCTCTTGTTCTGGTTTTCCCCACAGGGCATGTTTATCGTGCTGCTGCTGGCCTGGCTTTTTCTGCCCATCTACATCGCTTCTGGGGTGAGACTGCAGACTGGGGGCTACACTGTGGTTTGTGCTGCCCAGCTGCAGTCCAAACTCATTACCAAAACACCCCACAGCTAACAATCCCTGGCTGTCTGGACCCACAATGTCTTCTAGTCTGCATGCTTTGGAGCACCTATCTCTAAAACAAATAAAGGGCGGAGCGGTGGCTCTGTTGCTAAGGATCTGCTTCTGTGGCTGGAAGGTTGCCAGTTCAAATCCTGCAGCCAGCAGAAGAATCCTACTCCGTTGGGACCCTGAGCAAGGCCCTTAACCCTACTGCTCCAGGGGGGCCATATACTGTAAGTGGCTGACCCTGCGCTCTGACCCCAAGCTTCTCTCCCTGTCTGTGTGTCTTATGGAGAGCAAGCTGGGGTATGTGAAAAGACAAATTCCTAATGCAAGAAATTGTATATGGCCAATAAAGTGATCTCTCTATCATCCCGTAATGGAAACCTTGATGTAAACCAATAATTGGCTAATTAGATTTCATTGCGGACGATTTAAGACCTGGAAATGTGTAACTTTTTAATGTCAGCTGAAGCTTTTTGTTATATCGGTGTTAAGTTAATGGAGAGCTCACCAGCAATGCCAGGCCAATGATACTGGTGTTCCTAGTAATGAGGAATGATGAATTGGACCAGGTGAATAGGTCATCGTAATTTACTGTACTTGATTAGTTAAGAGCTTATTAGATTAGTAGTCCTTAAGAAAAGGAGATTTCTGCCACTGAAATAGGTGCATCAGAATCCCATATACAACACATCACACAGACACAATGGCAGAGAACTCCTCCTTTATTATCGCTGGGCCATTTTGAAATGTGGACACTGTTCCCAGTGCTGTGACTCAGAAATTTGTTCTTGCTCACTTGCTGGTGCATCACTGTGGCTATCCCTTCTGTTGTTTTTTCTTATCTCGCGCCCAGGTGACGACCATGCCCGAGTATTTGCAGAAGAGGTTTGGAGGGAAAAGGATCCAGTTGTTCATTGCTATTTTGTATTTGTTCATTTACATCTTTACCAAAATATCGGTGAGTGGGGAGAAAAAGACAGGCCTTACATTTGAAAAGGATGAAAAGGGTCAAACTCAGACCTGTTCTTTGACAGCTCGTCGGGGCAGAGCTCACCCTCGGTCCTGTAGCACTAAGGAACTAATCTGACATATTAGTGATTTTACAGTAGTTTCCCAAATAATGGCCCAGCCACTGTTTTTTTACTATATCTAAGCAGCATTTTTTTGCACATCATGAACTGTAGGAGGTCTCATAAAAAAGGTATATCCTAGGTTTGTGATGTAAGGTGAGTGAGTTAATTCACTATTCTGCCATCCTTAGAAGAGACTTGAAAAGATGGTCTGCAGAAATACAGCTGTGGTGCCCTCTCTGTTGCTCTCATGCTGTGGCCCAAAGCCCATCACATTTTAAAGGTCTCTTTCAGTGATTAACTTCTTAATCCAACTATTGGAGTTTTTTAAACAGGGTTTGTGAGGGATGACAACAAACCAAGTTCAATAAGACTCGGGTGTCAGTAATTAGCGATCATTATTTCCTCTTCTAAAGCACTATAAGTACTGCACGTGATCCACTTCTCTCCCCTACATACGTCTTTGGCATCCCATCTCCCCCTCTGCAGCTGCCCCTTGGTCGCTCCTCCCTCAGCGTGGGGGTCCCAGCCTCCTCATCCTCTGGCCAGAAGGCCAGCCCTCTGCCAAGCCAAGTTAAAGCTGAATTGTGACCAAATGTGCCCAGATCCTTTCAGTACACTTAATTCTGGGGTGCTGTTATTCCTAGTGAACGTGAGAATGTGGATGTGACGCTCTACTTTAATATTTTGCCCGGGTGTCCCGGGTGTCTTCCAGGTGGACATGTACGCAGGAGCTGTGTTCATCCAGCAGGCCTTGCAGTGGGACCTGTACCTGGCTGTGGTCGTGCTCCTGGTCATCACTGCCTTGTACACTGTAGCAGGTAGAGGGTCGCCACATCCACCCATAAAAAGTCCATAAAACTGTTTCGTGTCACCTGGGGAAGGACAACAAGCACAACACAAAAATTGACTCTAAAACTGGATGTGAAACCACGGTCCTCACTTCCTTAAGTTGATCAATCACTTAACATTCTAAAGTCATTTAGAGGCAATTCTTCAGTTCCATGCACTTGATTCAGCTAATAGTACAAATATCATCAGCCCTGTTCCTACACAGTTTTTTTCTTGTGTCCAACACCTACATAAATTAATTACTTTTTGTTTGTATTTAGCGGTTGAGCCTTGAGCAAATCTATCGTTCCTGCAAGACCAGGACTCTGTAGGGCTGGCTGCTGCTACAATATGAGGAGTATGAGGCTGGGAAACATGGAGATGTTTCCCCTAAATGCGCTCAGCAGAACAGTTGGGTAACAGGTCAAACAAGAGCCTGAAGAAGCTCTATCAGCATGTCTGCTCCCGGTGCAGTCACTGTGTTTCTGTGGTTGCAGGTGGCCTGGCTGCAGTGATCTACACAGATGCTCTTCAGACTGTCATCATGCTGATCGGCGCCCTGATCCTCATGGGCTTCAGTAAGTGTGTCCTGTGCCCTGGCGGCCCCTCAAAGCCCCAAAGCCCCCAGTTCTGAGTGACTTCCCCAGTCGGAACCCTGCCAAGCCCTTCTCCCCTGCTTCCCACTTCCACTAAAACGAGCACAAGGTTGATATGAAGGGCTGTGTGCAGGCCTGTTTTGTAAATCTAAATGTATCTATAGTCTTTGTTTTTAAGAGCTGCATAAGGACTGTTTAAATCTCACAATGTAAGGTTCATTTCCTAACAGAATAGCATGAAGTCGGCCATTGAGGTGATACACTGTAATAATAATTGCTTACACTTATATAGCGCTTTTCTGGACACTCCACTCAAAGTTCTTTACAGTTAATGTAGACTCCCCTCCACCACCACCAGTGTGCAGCCCCACCTGGATGACAGCAGCCAGAGTGCACCAGTATGCTTCCCACACACCAGCTATCAGTGTGGAGGAGAGCAGAGTGATGGGGATTATTAGGAGGTCATGATTGGTAAGGGCCAGGAGGAAATTTGGCCAGGGCGCCAGGGTAACACCCCTACTCTTTTCAAGAAACGCCCTGGGATTTTTATTGGCCACAGAGAGTCAGGACCTCGGTTTTACATCTCATCCGAAGGACGGCACCTTTTTTAACAGTATAGTGTCCCCGTCACTATCCTGGGGCATTAGGAGCCACACAGGCTGCCGCCTACTGGCCCCACTAACACCTCTTTCAGCAGCAGCCTCAGCTTTCCCAGGATGTCTCCATCCAGGTACTGGCCAGGCTCACACCTGATTAGCTTCAGTGGGCTGCCAGTGGTGATATGGCTGCTGGCTATATCACTCTGTCCCCTCGAACCCAGATTCTGAAGGTCTCTGCTGCTGCCTGACTGTGTCTCTTCAGGCTTTTCGGCAGTGGGGGGCTGGGAGGAGCTGCACAACAAGTACTGGGAGGCCATTCCTGAGATCCGAGACCCCAACACCACCTGCGGCCTGCCCAGGCCAGATGCCTTCCATCTTTTCCGTGACCCCGTGACCTCTGACCTGCCCTGGCCGGGTATCCTGGTGGGGATGACCATTCCATCCATATGGTATTGGTGTACTGACCAGGTGACTAGCCCCACTTTCCATGACAGTCGTACTCTGTATTAACCAATGTATTGCCCGGGCCACTCACTTACTTTGGCCTCCTGACCCTTCCCTGATGATGATTTTCATCTAGAGAGCCAATGGCGAGATGACGAGAAAGCTGTCAGTATCTGCTTCTTGCTTTGTGCTGGCTGGTCGTACGTTATAATGTGTGTGGCTTCTGGAAGAAATAGAGTAGCTTTAGGTTAAGTTGCATAAATAAGAGTGTAGTGGATGTTCTATTAAGGATCATTTGCTATAAAATGAGGTTCTGCAGAATGCTAATAAATCATCTATACGGGGTTCCGAGCTCAGGCCTGAGGCTTTGCATGGACAAAGACACGTGCCTTTTCTGTGTCTTTCTGAATGCAGGTAATCGTTCAGAGGTCTCTGGCAGCCAAGAACCTGCTTCACGCCAAGGGTGGCTCCCTGTTTGCCTCGTACCTGAAAGTGCTGCCATTTTTCATGATGGTGCTTCCTGGGATGATCAGCAGAATACTCTTCCCAGGTGAGGACTTTCCCTGGCAGGTGCAATCATAACCTTCTGTTAAAGGGCTATGGCAGTCCCAGTTTCCTAGACCGGTTCTTAAATCTCAGTAACAACGTTAACTCATTCACCATAAATAAATAAAAATAACACACTTTGAATGAAGCACAAAATGGTGAACTTGGTGAAAGTACTGTGAGTTGTCATGTTGTCGCAAACTTGCATTCGAGTTCCCACGAATTGCGAGGCGAAGTGGCCCTTCCTGCTCACTAGTCACTGTAATGACTAATGTAATCCGAACTACCAGCAAATAAGTACAGGTTGTGTAGCAGACACTTAACGGCAGAAATGTTCCAACGTTAACTCTGCATGCTGACCGCATGTAAGTAGTACTGTATTTGCAGGCAAATCGAAATCGAAAAGTAATATTTTTATTGGATTAAAACAGATGTATTCATAAGCTTGCTTGTTTACAGTGCCATAAGGCCTCAACAAGTCACCAGACGTTTTGTTGTCTCATTTTGAACCGTCCAATATGGTTCTGCACATAACTGGACATTTTGTCTAGTTTGTGATGTAAATTGGAGGTTTTACAGGTCACTGTCTCCATTTTTCTTTAATTGTGGTTTGAAATGCACTCATCGATGCTCGTTCTTTCTAACCCCAAAATATAAAATAGCATTGAAGTTCCCCTTTAAACCTGTGACAAGCTCCAGCCTGTGTATCTCAGCGTACAGAGTTTTGGACTGTTTCACCAGGGGGTGGAAGGAGGAAATAGTAAGGAAAAAAATGTATTAAGGGTTCAAAGGAGCAGAAAAGACTCCTTAGAAATTGAAGACCTACTTGCTGGAATGGGTAGATTTGCTTTTTCTTAGTTTGATGTCCATTTTCATGGTGATTCGTGTTGGGTGCCGTGCTTTGCAGATGAAGTGGCCTGCGGAGACCCAGTTGTATGCAAAGACGTCTGTGGAAATCCTGTGGGGTGCTCCGACATAGCGTACCCCAAACTGGTGATGGAGCTTTTGCCTACAGGTACGGCCGCAGCCAACAGCAGAGGCTGGACTAGCCGTGTAGACACGTCTTGTAGAGCCTCTCGTCATTGGACTCTAAAGATGCAACCTGCTAAGATCTTCTTTCATGTAGGGGTCATTTCTCTGTTTTGCACTATACATTTCAAATACTCTACAGGACCAAAAAATCGCAGGTAATGGTGCGTAACGTTATGGATTCAGGCTGTTTCTGTCGGTTAGTTCAGGTTGTCGTTAAGTCATGTCCTTAGGGTTCCACAGCTGGGCAAGAGTTTTAAGCCAGTGTAGAATCTCAGCGTCTGGAGTTGGCCTTAGATTGAAGAAAGGGGATAAACTGGTGACGTTAAGCGAGTATGAATTCAAATCTGAACTGAAAGGCAGGAGATTTCGTATCCCATAAGGCTCAAGGCTGAGGAGTAGGGGGTTTAGCTGCTGTAGTTGGTGTGAAATAAAAGAAAAAATTAGTTGCTCTCTAACATCAGCGCAGGCAGGCGTTACACCTCAGAGAATAATTGACTCATCTGGAGCGTCGTATGGATCCTAAGCTGTGGTGAAAACCCCAAACAGGCATTGTAAATGAATCTGTCAGTGTGAGATGTTGTCTAATCAGTCATCTGAGTTAATGACTTCCCCTGGTGGGGTGGAGACTCGGTGACATTGCCGATGACCTTGTCTGTCCTGTCAGCGACAGAGCCGATGATGAGGAGGAGGGTTTTGTTTCTCATGTTGGCTTTCTGCAGGCCTGCGTGGGCTGATGATGGCCGTGATGATTGCGGCCCTCATGTCCTCCCTCACCTCCATCTTCAACAGCTCCAGCACCATCTTCACCATCGACCTGTGGAGACACTTTCGCCCCTGGGCGACCGAGTGGGAGCTCATGATCGTAGGCAGGTAACGGGGCTGGGTGGAGGTGGGTGGGTGCAGTTTTTGGAGGATCTGGTGACTACAGGTGGTTTTACACATCAATGGGTTGAGCGGTGCAGGCCGAGCAACTGTGAAAAGGTCTTCATCCTTGAATGGACAAGCACATTGAAAGTGTGCCACTTCCTTCTTCTGCTTCAAGCCCCTCCTGGCTCAGGTCTGGTTTCGAAATCCACCTTTAACAACCACTTGAACGGGATGGATGCAGCGGCCTCTTCTTAGCTGTACCCTTGCTTGTGTTCTTGTTTGTGTGGAGGAGGGGTCGCTGCTCGTTTCTCCATAGAGACAAAGAGACAGTTCCTGCTGTACACACAGAGGTATAATCACAAGGCCCTCCTGCATAGCTGTTTTGAGATCACTGGCCCAGTGCTAGTTTCAGCAGGAAGTTGGAGGTTTTTTGTCCAAGTCTGGGGTTGGTGATGTTCCAACAGCAGCTGCCACCTCTCTTTAAGTCTCTCTGTACAGTTCATGTTGTTTGTAACATTGTCGGTCATTGTAGAGGCACCTCTTATGTACTGCATGCGATTTTCTACACATGCAAGGTGTGTGTGTGTGCTACTGGCAGCGCCATCCAGTGCGTAGAAGTATCTGTCTTGCTGCCCAAGGGTACGGTCGTGGTGTCTGGGTGTGTGCGCGGAGGTATCTTTACTGTGCCACGGGCATCTCTTGCGCAGGGTTTTTGTGCTGGTGCTGGTAGCGGTGTCCGTGTTATGGATCCCCCTGGTCCAGGCCAGCCAGGGAGGGCAGCTCTTCATCTACATCCAGTCCATCAGCTCCTACCTGCAGCCCCCTGTCGCCATCGTTTTCATGGCCGGCTGTTTCTGGAAGAGGAGCAGCGAGCAGGTACGCGAATGTCCCGGCTCCGTGCCGGGGTGGAGAGAAACGGGGACGAGGGGAGGATTCTTGAGGGTTTCGGAAAAGCGCAGCGGTTCAGGTAGAAGCGGAAGTTTATGGGGTAAATCTTCAAAGGCCAGCCTATCTCAAACCCCTGATGCAGGCTGACGTTCTTCTGTCCTCCTCTCCCCCCCCTTGCGCTCTGTCTCACGACTCAGGGTGCCTTCTGGGGCTTAGTGCTCGGGCTGCTGGCCGGCTGCGCGCGGATGGCCCTGGACTTCGTGTTCCCAGCACCACAGTGCCACGAGCCGGACGAGCGGCCCGGTATCGTCAAGTACGTCCACTACCTGTACTTCTCCATCATCCTGTCCCTGTTCACGCTGGCCGTGGTTGTGATCGTCAGCCTGGCCACGGAGAAACCGCAGAGGGAACAGGTAAGTGACCAGTGCCTGGTACGTCTTTAGATTGCTTTGAAATCTACTTTAAACTGAGCAATCACAGGCCTAAGAGAACAGGCTTAGGCTTTTTGTTCACCCATTAGAAAGGGGTGCCTTTTTTTTCTCCTGACCTTCTTTCTTTCGTCCTTTGTGCTGACAGATCAGCCGTCTCACCTGGTTCACGAGGTTGGACCGAGCGGCTCCGTCCAGAGTGGAAATCGCCGTTCTGCCCGCTGATGGCGGGACTGCAGTGCCGGAGAAGGAGGCAGAGAGAGCCGAGAATGGAGGCACGCCCAACCCGCGGAAGGGTGAGCTGCCTGGCGGGGTGTGGGGGCTGGCGGAGGCAAAAACGTCTGAGCTGAGGGATGAGGCTGTTGAATTCTGGGTAGAGGACTTCCTGTTTTGAGCATTGTAAATTTGAGTTGACCTATTGTGCAAGGAAGTCTTGTTAAATCCTTTTGAACCACAGAGAGTCACTTGAACATGCATCTGGCAACTATATTTAGGGAAAATTGCTAACAGTATCAACAGCAGACCAGCACTGAAGCTGTTCATGGAGCACTGATATATGATAAATTGTCAAGTGCCTTGTTATTCTAAATTCTACCTTTGGGGATTTAACGCCCAACAATCCTGGATAGCACACTGTGAAGGGGAGTTGTCAGGAAGCAGCAGGAATAACGGGAGCTTCCCAGGAAACCTGATCAACCTGTCCTTTCCCAAGCAGAGTCCAGCTCGAGCCAGGCCAGCGAGGAAGGAGGCTCCCGCCTCAAGTCCGTCTTTCTCTGGGTGTGCGGGATGGAACGCAAAAGGGAAGGGGGCGGTCCCATCTCGCCCCCGCCCGCCGTCGCTGTCTGCTCCCTGGCCGAGGACCCCTGCCTGAGACACGTGCTCAACGCCAACCTCCTCGTCTGCATGTGCGCTGCGGTTTTCCTGTTTGCGTACTTTGCCTAGCGGACGGCGCAATGAAGGCGGCCCACCAAAAAAATAAAACCCCAGGAGCGGGAGGCCCTCGCTCCCCAGCACGTCCAGAGTAATGAGACCTATCGCGATGGTGGCATACTCGGCCTCGGTGGAGACCATCAGAATAAAACCCAGTGCCTTAGCCCCTCAGGGGGTTGCAGTTTGAAGCCTCTGCCCCAGCCTGATGAAAAGCAGGCAGTGCAGCTCAACCCCGATGCACACTGTCCAGTCCCAGCAAGCCTTTAAGTTGTCTTTGTGCATCGGGGGCCTTGGGAGACTGTGACCTCAAGGACAGGACATCAGCCAACATTCACTTTGTTCAACAAAGATGGCGGAGGGACTGTTGTAAGAAATCAAGACTGAGCTGAGGCTGGTATCTAGAGGAAACCCCATCTATCTTATCACTGCAGATTCTTCTAAGAGACCAGCAGCGAAGGCGTCGACCCATTCCATTCATTGTAGTTCTGCACTTCCACGGCGTTAATTTAGTCCGGGAAGATTATGATGAAAACGTTCAACAGCCGGTGTCTCATTTTAGTTAAAGATGAAATTCTCACAAAAGATATAATCCCCAATGCCAAGAATGAAGACTAAATTGCTTTAAATTTGAGTGAATAAAGAATAAACCAGATGACCCGTCTGCCACACTCATACAGTAATGTATTTAATCAGGTGAAGTTCATTTGCACATTTACTTTGTCTGAGAGAGCACAGTGGATAGAGGGGCTGGGGCTGGAGGGGGGCTGGGCGGTACCCAGGGGTTCTCATTGTGTGAGACCTGCAGATATGGGGACTATTTCTCTTCTTCCATTTTGGTTCCCGATTGCCCCTTCTTTTCAGATGAGAAGTAGTAAAGGTTTATTTCATGCTAAAAAGAGACAAAAGGAAACAGTTTTGGCTGTGGAGGGTGTACACTTCTTTTCAGCACAGAATAAACCCTTACTTGTTCCTTTGCAGCCCATGGCACCTCCCTACTTGAACTTATTTCCAGATCATCTTTTACACTCCTCACATCATGAATTGTTACAGTCTTAATTGATTGGTACCCACCAACAATGAGATGCATACATTGTATGAATTAGATAAAACTATAAAAGCACCTCACTTTTTTTTGTTTACAAAAAGAGGCACACAATGCATTTAGTACTCCCTGCCTTCAGCTGGAAAAGGATCTCGATTCTGGCAGCACTTGATGGAGGACAAGCACTCCAGGAAAAGCTACATTATAGAAGATGAACAAAACTACAACAAAAAAAAAATAGAATTCTAAAATCCTAAAAGAGGGGGAGGAGACTTTTTTTGCTTTAGGGGCGTTTGAAGAAATATCTCCAAGGAGTGACTGAGTAGCACGCCCTATAGCTCAATCAGCTGAACCTCCGACTCTTCTACCTCTGTGATCCGGGTTCGAGTCCCGCACGTCTCTGCAGTTATTTTTCCTCTCAGGCTCAGCCCGTCCCTCTTGTGATCGGGCCTTACATCCACCTCTTCAAGGCGCTGATTGGATACCGACCCCCGCCCCTAAAACCCAGCCACACCCCCTAGTTACCATGGTAACTAGACGCGTTCTCTCAGCAGCGTGGTGCGTCATCCTTCACGTACCGAGGAGTGCGTGTCCTCAGGCCCGCAGAGGTCGGGGACAGAGGCTGTAGGTGAGGCCGCAGTCCCCTGGCTCCCAACTCCCCTGACCGGGACAACGCCAGCGCCCGGAGGCTGTAGCGCTGCGAGCCCCGTGGTGGGACCATTTAAAGGGAGGACCCGATTCAGGGTTCTCTACACCCCTGTACTCCCCCCTATCAGAATAATCAATCCAATTAACACATTCACAGCAGTTTATTACAGCATAAAAACCAATTACAATATACAGCGGTATTATTACATTGATATCCAGAGTCTCCTCTCCCTCGCCGGTGTCTTAATTAGCTACCTTTGTCGTCCTTTTCGCGCTCAGCAGGACTCAGGTTATAAATACGGGGCGGTTCTGGCCTCCTGGCCTGTGCAGGCTGGGGTCCCGGCTGATAGCGATATCTCGCTGCTCTCCTGGTCCATTGCTTTACTCGGTTGCTGCAAAAATAAAACGCATTAATTTTTCTTACAGGTTTTGCTGAAACCAGCAACATATGCTTAAAATGTTATCGTAGAAAAACTCTACAGCGGGACAGTGGCAAAAGGCGTTTCAGGAGCAAGGTAACCGATTTCTCCCTCTCCTCGCACCGGGGGGTTTCAGTTTTCGTACCGGGTCTCGCACAGCTGGGTGCAGTTTCTTGCAGTCTGTTACGAGTCTCCCTCCCATTTCAATCCAAGCAGAGCGGTCGGTACGACTTCCTGCAAACTGTTTCGAGAGAAGGAAAACCCAGCTGGATCTACATCTTCACAGCGAGGCCAGATACAAGTTAAACGGAACCACGGGATTTCAGAATCCGCCATCCCAGTGAAAGTGTTTCACTCCTGAGCTGCGCTTTCCTGACCGGAACTCCTGGCTTCTAGGAAGAAGAGACTCCGACTCACCTGTGAATCCGCCGCGGAGATCCAGTCACTCGGTACACGGGTGGGTCTGCGATCAGGTCTCCAGGCCACGCCGTGAAGGATAAAAAAAAAGCTGCTGTTTAAAGCCCAGAGACTCACCAATATACAGTAGAAGGTTTGAATACAAACCAAAAAAAAAAGTGTATTGTCTATTTAAAGCTATGAAATATGAAATTAGCAACGTAAAGAAGTTGTAGGCACTATTTTAATACCACGTTTCTCTTCGCAGAGTCGAAGCCACAAAACTTAGCCAGCAGCTCCAACGATTTCGAAATTGTTACCATTAAACCCCATTTTATTACATTTACCACCCGCCCCGAAAAAAAGTGACAAACTTCGCCCGGAATCCCGCAATTCCTGTGAAACGGTTAACTTTAAAACCGTTTTTGCTTCCAAACTCGCTATTTCAAAGCGAAGATGGGTCCCAGAACTGCTATAAATGAGCGAATTGAAGTCTAATTGCAGACCGGCCGCACCTGCCTTCTCAATCACACCCGGCCAATAGGGGCAGCGGATCCCGGAGCTGCTCGTCTCTGCTGTTAAACAGCGGAGTTTTCAAACAGCCAGTCTGCACGAATCCCACTGCATTGAGATTCCAAACATCTAACAGGGACAATTAAGTTCAAAGTTAAAGGTTTTAATCGGAGCTACTTAGCTTGCCACAACCAGCTCTTTATATAATGCAGATCCTGCTAATTATCAATTTAACAGTGCTGGGGGCCTCTACACTGTAACGCAGTGAATTGGAGAGGCTGCAAATAGCTCTGATTCCAGTATCAAGATCCCACCTTCACACTGCAATACAACACACTGACTTCACGCTGCCAGCTCCGTAAAGCTGCCCCCCCTATAAGCGGCACAAATGATGAACCGCGTTTGTTAGTGCTGTGTTTGTGCAGTTGAAAGTAGCGTTTGTGCTACTTTCGTTTCAGAAAGAAAAGGCCTAATTTCTTCGGGGGCGTGACGTCACTGTGCCACCCTACAGCGGCTCAGGAGAACCGAACCGGTCTGATTCGTTTGAATTATTAAAAGTAGCTTCCCAGCTGCTCTTGTTCCCGATATATAGCGCCTTTTTTCCCCCGAGTAATCACGTGACCGTGTACGGCGACTTTGACCGCTAGTAACCCCGAAAGTTCAAGCGCTCCGTTACTTGATGCGAGGATAAGAAAGTCTGCAGTTTTGTTTTTCTGTTTACCCGAGGACCGACAGTTGATTTTGCATTTCATACCAGTATTTTCTGTGCGTTTGTGTGAACAGGAAAAAGGGTTGATTCCAATATCATACCACAATCACAGGAGTCGTGGGTTTAACAATAAAAAGCGAACATGAGCAAACAATTGCATGTTATTAAAAAAGGCTTTAGCTCACACGTTTTAATACTTCGTAGCTGTGTCAATATATATTTTTTTAATCTGAAGACGTAATCAGTTTCTTACTGTGTCCGTTTGAATATACAAATCGAGGCATGTTTAAAAATTCAACCCGTCATTCGAGACACCTATTTAAAAATACTAGAATTAGTTACTTCCTGTATTACAAGACCACTGTTGTACCATTTTATGCAAAGCATATTCGGAAAAGTTGAAAAGAACCAGGACATTATGTTATACGTTGACCTAGGCAGTTCATAAAACATCTGCGAAATAACATTGGAAACCCTTACTGTCTCATACTGTACATGTAGACCTCGGAAATATTTGAAAATATTTATATTTTCACATAAAATAATTGAACATGTATCTAAATTGTTTTAAAAAACCCCATCATTATCCATGTCTTTATATTGATGAAGTAATCTTATTGAAACTTTGAACATTAACCAAATGTTTTCAATTCAATTATATTCAAAATACTTTCTTCATCCCCAGGGATTCAGATCATAGTAAAAGGTTAGACATTAGCGTCAATATTGCACCAGTGTTTCTCTATTCCTGTCTTTTAAATTTGGATCAGAGAGTAAGAATTATACTGCCCGTGTTTGCTAGTCAATCTCACCTGTACCTACAGCAAATCACTCATTGACAGTGGTTCCCCAGCGCTTTTCACTGTACATCCTGTGTATACAGTTTATTACACTAAATAGATTTATGATGACTTCTTAAATTCATCAAAATGAATTAACATCTCTCGCTTAGTGATGACAGTTATGAGTTAATACAAAACTCCTGAATACCTGTCGCACACTGCTTCCACTAGTTCAGTGCCAGCAGTCTGATATTCACATTTTTACCACCTGCACTCTTTACACTTGACTACAGAACCTTTCTCATCTTATAGTGTATTAAATAATAGCATCTATAATAAGGAGTGACGTGATGCTCCATTGATAGCAAAACTAGTTGTTACATCCTTATCACTTTTCTGTTTTCTATGCACACATGAGTTCACATTCTATTTACATGCATTGCTTTTGATTGATACATTTTTAATATAAAGGATTAAACTTCTATGTGGAACCTTGACAAACGTCGACGGAAATAAATCATGTCGGCACACCTACTGGTATAAAGGAACTAAAGGGATACTCTGCCCAGACACCAGCCGGGGTCTAAAGCCTTCATTAATGTAATTGTTCATGCATTTTTAAATAAGTTGTCTTCAGAATTGTTTCAGACGTTTCGTTTAAAAAAAAATCAACATTTTTACCTCACAGACTTCGCGTCTGACAAATGACATACATATTCCTCCAACTCTGCTACAAAATTCTGTTATTTTATTTTTCACTGTCACTCGAAAAGTTAAACAATCGCAAAAACGGTTACAGTAACGTATTACCAAGGCTTTTCTTTAGCCTTAATGCTTGAAAAGCGAGCAAACAGCGAGCCCGTCTTTGAACTGTGACTTGGCTTTAGACTGAATAAGAGAGTTCAGTGGCCGGCCTGGTGGCTCCGCGGGCTGAACCATCGGGCACTTGTAAAGTTCAGAAAGCGGATTGACTCCCCCGGAGTCTCTGGAGTTGAAGTCGAGCCCCGAGCCTCCCCGTCAGTCTGAGATCTAAGCCCCGGGTGTAGCTCTCGTGCTGTCGGGGTGAGTTTGTGGAGGTGGCTGTTCTCTACCACGCCGGCCGTTTTGGGGGGTTCCATTTTCGGGGCCCTCCAAAACCGGGAAAAATGGGGGGTTTAAGTCATTTATAAATGCATAGTTCGGAATTCAATTCTAAAAAGCAGCCCCTTATACCACTGTGACACCTGCAGGACAGGTGTGGCACTAGCAGTGAAAGAGAGGTGCAGTCCTAACTAGGAGCGACAGGGGTCTCTCTCCAGCACATTTCTCCTGGTTCTAGAGATCAACCGGCCGCAAGCTGAACGAGTCCGGCGAACAACCAGGGCGATGTCACTGTATTCGGGTGTCTGAAAGTCCTCAGCCGTTATATACATTATAAACGATTTGGTAAGTTAAGGCTTATTTTTATCTTCAGTACCGTGAGTCTTGAGCCCTTGTAACAGAATCCACAGCTGTCATTCAGGAGCCGGGCCCGCCCCCAGAGTGACCTTCCTCAGCGGACACGCCCCGTCCACCTGTTCCACAGGTGCGCCCGGCAAGATGGCGGCAGGGCGAGTGTCTGCGGCGTGAGGTGCGTTTGCGTTTTATTTCTAGTTTTCGTATTTTTAATGCAAAAAATCAAATCTCATCTTGAGTAAAGCTACACAAAACTGTATTGCTGTTGCTACTTTTGTTCAGTTTAATTTGCGTTTTAGGACGCCGAAATAAGTCTTCTGTCCGTTGGAGCGTGCTCTCGACGTTTTAAAAGTCTGTATTTAGTGTTCTTATACTATCTTTCATTTAAGTATGTTTTTTTAAGATATGGTATCTCTTGGTCAGTTTCCTTTAACGATAAAAGGCTGAAATTTACCTTCAAACATTTGCTTTATAAAGCCAGTAGCTGTGTAAATCCTGCTTTTCGGATTCGGGCTATAAAAACCTTTTCCGCTCCGAAATGATAAAATATTGTTAACATGATAATTACCAATTCGTTCACTAAACTAAAGTTTGTTTTATTTTTCCAGGTGACAAAAGGATTTCAAGAACGGGACTCCAGTTTTGGAAAAATGGTGTTTTCCAAGGTAAGTTCTATTCCTACCTTCTGCTATACTATTTATATTTGTGTAACTCGACAAGACAAAACGTATTTCCCTGCATTTTAACACCAGAACGGGTTTATACCAAGTATACAACTGATTTTCCTTTCGTTGTGCTTTTGTTGAATAGAAAAAGGAAACTAAAGCGCTTGTTCTTTTATTCCTCTCTTGAATCTATTGGGTAAAGATGGACGATACAAATTTTAACTTTGGTTTTCAAAGCAGGGAGTTAAATCGTAAATAATACACTGTAAATGGTACTTGCTCTTAAATTTGAATTTGTATGTGGTATCTGTGAATTCTCATGAAATTACCCATTGATATCTTATTGAATTTGAGCGTGTTTGTATATTTCTTTATTCAGGCAGCTTGTTTAAAAAGTAAAAAGATTCGATTATGCAAGTTTGATATCTTGTGAATTGGATCCCTTTTCTTTTGCCTTCAGTTGTAACTTTTGTTAATTGCCTTTGTTTCTCTTTAATTTGTGTTTTAGGACGCCGAAAAGAGTCTCCTGTCCGTTGGAGCGTGCTCTCGAAGTTTTAGAAGCCTGGATTCAGCTCTCTTATACCACCTTTCATGTATGTTTTTTAAAATATATGGTATCTCTAACTCTGTTTCCTTTAACGAAAAAAAGGCTGTAATTTATCGTCAAACATTTGCTGTATGAAGTCAGTAGCTGTGCAATCTCTGCTTTTCGGATTCGGGCTATAATAACGCTTACCGCTCAGAAATGATAAAATGTTGTAAAGATGAAATTGACTAATCGTAAGTTTTTCTTTATTTCTCCAGGGGACAAAAGGATTTCAAGAACGGACGTCCACTTATGAAAGTTTTTTTTTCCAAGGTAAGTTTAACTGTTACCTTCCGCTACATTATTTGTGTAACTCGATAAAACAACACGTATTTCCTAGCATTTTAACACAAGAACAGTTTTATACTAACTCGATAACTGATTTTCGTTTCATTGTAATTTTGTGGAATATACTCTAAGGCGCTGGTTCTTTTTTTATATGATATTTTCATTCATCTTTTGAATTCATTGGGTAAAGATGGATAATAACACATTTTGTCGATAGTTTTCAAAGCAGAGTTTATTCGAATAGTATACACGCTGTTACTTGGTCTTGTATTTACAAGTAGCATTGGATTTCTGTGTGACCGAAAGTATTTTCTAAATATTGGAGTAGTGGTGATTTCCCATGGCTTATTGTTCAATTTGAGTATTTTTATATTTCTTTATTTAGGCAACTTATTTAAGAAGTTAAGACTTCAGAACTTCAAGTGAATCGTTTCTACAAGTCCGATATCCTGTTAACTTGATCCCTTTTCTTTTGCCTTCAGTTCTGCGGCTCCTCACGACATCTCTGCGCTCCGACTATCTCCTTTCCAGCAACTCGACGAGCGTTGGCAAGTTCTTCTCGACAATGTGTGCTTTTTCTTACAGTTGATTTTTGTTACCAGTGGCTTGATCTGTAATGTCCCGATTCAGTGCTGTATTTTATTCTTG